AGCCTGGCTCCAACTGCCGCAGCCTTCCCTCTGGCTCTGCAGGGCCTCCCACGAAGGCCAGCACACACGCACACTGGAAGGCAGGAAGGCCAGGAGGCCACCCTCCCAAACCTGCTCTCCTGTGACCTGGGCTTTGGCAGCAACGCACCTGTGTGGAGAGGATCCAGGTGAGAAGGCGGGCTGAGGTACCCCTCCCTGACAGATGGACTCCCGGCTGCCCCACCCCATACAGGAAAAGCCATGGACACAGAGCTCCACAAACAGCTCTTTAATTATGCCTGAGGGCGCGGCAGCCCCACCCCGTCAGACCCGTCCCAATTCCTCTGCACTTCCCAGGGCTCTGCCCCCCACATCCCTTCCCCCAGAAAGGAAACCGTTTCACCCCAAGCTAGCTCAGGGCCCTCAGTCTCCGGAGGTCTCGTTCAGTTTCTGAATTTGCCCACCAGTGGCTTTGAGGGCCAAGTCCCCAGGCCTTGCTGGTCCAGCAGGTGGGACAGCTGCTGACGAGCCTCCTGGTAGGGCCCAGCCTGGGGGGGACAGAGTGGGTGAGGAGTTACCAGGGGGTGACAGAGGGGTGCTGGCTGAGGATGGAGAGCGGGAAAACCTGAGGAAGACGCTGGGGAGGGAACGGACTGACCTTGGCGGCCTCGTAGGTCTTCAGGGCCAGGAGGTGGGTCTTTCCCAGAGAGCGGGCCACCTGGCGGAAGGCCCGGAGGAAGGCGGCCTTGCAGAGGCGGGAGGGAGGCCCGAGGGTGGCCCTGGACGAGGAGGGGAGGAACAAACTTGCAGGCTGTTCACCGGCCTCCTCTGTGACAGCGTTACCGGGGCCACAGAGCAGGCGAGGGTAAGGGAGAGAGCGAGGCACAGAGGGGACCTCAGCGGTACAGGCCATCACTCCCCCCACCCGGGGCCCTCCTCACTCGGCCTTCACGCGCCCGGTGGCCACGTCCACAACCTCGACGTCAGTGTCCCCCAGGCTCCAGTTGAGGCTCAGGCCATGACAAGTGTCGGGGGTGGGGTTCGAGGGGGCCACCAAGGGCCCTGAAAACAGGTGCATGGTGGTGCGGACGTAGGGTGGTGGCAGGCAGGGCCCTGAGACCTTGTCTAGGCTGGGCCGGGTGTGGATGGCCCTGCTCAGCGTGAGGGGGTCGTGGCAGGGGTCAGCTGTGGGCAGAAGGCACAGGGGAAGGCCGAGTCACCCCATGCTCCTCACAGGCCCCCGGAGCCCACTGCCCATGCCCATGCCCTCACCCAGGACCAGACTGGTGGGGTAGAGTGGCGGCAGGAAGTGGGCCAGCAGGGCGCCGGCCAGCCCCAGCACAGCCCAGCGTGCAAGCTTGTCGCTGGCAGACAGGCAGCCCACGTGGGTGTTGCGGAGCGCGGGTGCCGTGTAGCACACGGGCCTCAGCTGCCCGCGGACGTGGGCCTGCAGGCGGAAGGGCGGGTTGTGCAGGAGGCTGCCCTCGGAGGACGGCGGTAGGCTGCAGGGGAAGGACAGGGAGACCGGAGTCAGGCGTGCTCTTCTGACCGGCCCCCACCTGCCGGCCACGCCCACAGGGGGCCCCCAGCAGAGCAGGCCCTTACTAGATGTCACGGGCTGCTCCCTGGGGGGTGTTGCTGACATAGAGGTGCAGGAAGATCCTGGGCTTGAGGGTGAAGGGGGGCCCGGGCCCAGGCTGTGGGGCCAGCACCGACCGCTCCTTGCCCTTGGGGCCACCCTGCGTGACCAGCAGCAGCTGCCGGAACAAGAACCTGGGGGAGGGCAGGGGGGGGGAGGCAGGCGAGGGAT